ATGATAGTGAAGGTCACCCTGTATATTTCATTATTTGTTCCGGTTAGAAATTTTGTGTTTGGGCATTTCGGTTCGCTCAAGACTATGGTCCGATAGATTTAATTTCGCTCAGATTTAATTTCGTCGTGGGAAGAGTGCAAAGCTGATTGACGTCATCATGAGTAATGCGAGTTTTTTGTCGTTTGTTTATCAACTTTGGCGCCGTCTAGACCGAGAATAGGAGCGGATGTAGCACCGAGCTATCAGAGATAAGGAGCTTTCACGTCATCAGCAGAAAACCGTGAGATCAGTTTGGTCAGCAGTTCTTTGAGGTTAATGACGAAGTTAGAGTGGGTTAAGTCTTATTTATCTGAACCAATGGGAGAATTTCTAGCGGGAGCCATTTTTGTTTTATGGTAATTTGGGTGTGGTTTTTTCATTTCAATTCTGAAGAAGGGGATCGTTTTTGGGAAGACTCGCGTTGAGTACATCGAGGGGTCAACACGTACTTTGAGTGATTGCGTTTTAGAGGAGACTCGCGGTTAGTACGTCAAGCGGTCAACACGTACCTTAAGCGATCGTTTTGGTACACTTGGCGGTTTGAGCCACCGGCTTATTTCGGTTGCTCCCAGTTGCGTGCTTTTTGCACCCGTTTCGAAGTGTTATTTTCTTTGCGCGTTGATTTTTTGGCGAAGGAGACCCAAGTTTCAATCAGGTGATATTTGGGCGAACCCTTGAGCTTCACCCCAGGTTACTTTGGATGCAGTGAATCGCGTTAGGATACGTTGTGTTTTCTCGAGGATACATAATTCCAAGTGCTGCCCTAGTCCTCAAGGCGCAGAATTTCGGGATCCGCCCCAGGTGGAATTTCCTACTAGTGCCGTAAGGTCATTTGTCGAAGGAGCGCTGCGTTTCGGAGAGATATTTGCCCCAAGAAGAGCTGGTGAAATAATACTTTGAACCATCGCGGTTTACCGTCGGATAGTGATCATAAAAGTTTGTGTTCTGCCGTACCGCTAACTCAAAAATCTGTCGCCCGCAGGCGGTCAAAGCTAATAAACTAATAAAATAAAATTAAATACTGTGCTGTGTAGAAACTTTGGCAACTAGCCGTCTCCCACTCGCCACGCGAAGGATTTCTTGGACTAAGTTTCCGTTCAAACACTAAACTTTGCTTTCGTTCCGAGGAAGGATAGGCACCGTGGATTTTGGTTTCCGTGTGTTAAATTCAAGCCAACCCCTAGGAAGTCACAGAGACCTAAGTGTCAGATCACATCCACCCTGTACCAGAGGAAAGAGCAGTTCACAAGATCGGCTGTACAAAGGTTGTAAAGGTTAGTCTAATTAAATTTGTAACATTCTGTAAAATTCCACTTTTTGGTAATTAAGCTATAGTAAAAAAATTTTTTGATTTGATTGTTTATTAAAGTCCAATGAACGATTACCAAAGAGTAGGATAAATTTTTGTGTTTATTTAAATAAGTCCCAGCCCACGCTGGATTAAAAAACTGATTACCTGTTGTTGCATTTTTCAAACTGTAGAGGATGGCCACCCCTTGAGTAAATTAGTGTCACCTGATAGGATTTTTTATTTAGTTTAGTTGTCATTGTTAAGCTAGTGTTTTTACAAGGAGGAGAGAAGAACTGCTAGATCCGTGTAAATTGTTTGTATCGCTAATTTCATTTCAATATATTATCTATTTGGTGTCAATGTGCCTATGTCTCTAACGAAGAACGAGGGGAAGGAAAGGAGGAGTAGGAGTTGAGGCAGGAGACTGGTAGGCGGCAGTTTAAGGTTTGTTACGCAGTTTCAAAAGAGTTAAAAGCCCACCGATTTGAGTTAGCCGGAGCATTTATTTTTATCGATTGAGCAGCCTGAGAAGAAGACGGTTTGCCTTGCCGGGCGGAACCGATGGTAATCTTCAAGTACAGAAGGAACCCCCGTAGCATGTGTTATCTCTTAATGTCGGTTAAAAATTGATTATAAAAATAATTTCTACCTCTGGTTTAACGTGCGTTAGGGGGGAAATTTTCTGTTGTCAACTGCTTATCATTGGCTGTTTTAATTTGTAATTTGGAAGAAGGGTTTCCACCTTAAATAGAACGGACTGAGAAGAGGAAGGGCTTTTTGCCACTGTCAACGCAGAACTACGTTTGTTGAAATTTAAATCGCCTTTTGCCAAGTTGAGAGCAGATCCACGTCTGCAGAAGTTTGAAGTTTGTTTTGGAGTTGTGAAGTTTTTATCGTCAGTTTTGTTGCCAGTCAGGGCAGTTTTTGAGTTCGCTTCGGCGAGTTACCGCAGTAGTTTGGATTGTGTAGAGGCCAGCCAGCATTGGAAGTTGGTGGAGTTTCCGGTTTACGGAGTGGCAAGCAGAGTTGCGGCAGTTTTGGAAGTTTGGACCTTCAGTAAAGTGCGTCACTAAGGGGTGGTCGGCGCCGACTTGAGTGTTTTTTGTGTAATTTTGAAATGTTGTTGTTTTTTTTTGTGTGTAACGTATTTGGATTAGCAGTTTTGGACATGTACCGAATGTAAGTAAAATTAAGTTTTAATTTTAGTTTGTTTTTTTCTTTGTAATAATTGTTTGTGTCTCTTGTAATATTTTTCATTGTGTGTGTGACAATTAAATTTGAATTTTGTAATTTTCACAATAATTGCTGTGTATGTCATTCGTTTCCTTTCATTTACTGTTTTCTTTGGATACTTGCCCAAGGTCCATTTTATTTAATCAAAATTCTTAAGATCGATTTGGAATTTAAGGTATTTGGTCTAACCCACTATCTGGTAGAAGTTAATAGTTTAACTGAGAAAAGAGTCGAATTCCTCCTCTGTGCTGAGGAGAAGGTTTGTTCCGAGGAAGATAAAGGTTTGAGCTAGCTAGGTTTGTTTAGGTGTTTTGTGTACGGTCTTTTTGGCCTACGGACCGGTGCACACAGCAATACATACAGTTTGTGGCTATTAATTATAAAATTATGGATTAACCCAAGGAAGTGGTTTGTTTTCTAGTGACGTTTCTAAAATGAACCACCCTGAATAACTGCGGAACGAAATGTGACATTATCATTCCGGTTTTTACGACCGGCATAGTCGACGTTTTTCATTTGTTTCGTACAAAATTGAAAATTCCTATTCATCCGATTTTAAACAAATTGGCATTCGGAGTAACGGCTTTGAATTGCTAAGTGCTAAAATTATTAATAAGAATAATAAGTCGGAAAAAGAATGATGTGGTCTCAAAGCAACAATTTTTCAAAATTCTGAAAAATATCTACTAGAATTGCGCCAAGGGTCTTTTCTTATCCTACAATGAAAGTATGCTACTTGTTGACTCAATGATCAACAATTACTATTGAAATCTCTGGAATTTTGAGGTTTTTGAAATATTCTGGAATTCTCATATTAGATTTATTCCTGTATATGAGCATGAAAGTAGGGAAAAAGATACATATTTGCATACCTTAAGTTACGCATGAAGACGATAGCTTTATCTCCTTGAGGTGCAGGTCTGAGAAATACTTTTTAATTTGATTATTACATTATATATTGTATTATATGTTATGTTGTGTCGTGTCGTCTCGTTTCGTGTCGTGTCGTGTCGTGTCGCGTCGTGTCGTCTCGTGTCGTGTCGTGTCGTGTCGTGTCATGTTATGTTATCTTATTTTATATATTATGTTATTATTATAATTTAGCGAATTCGCAATGATTTGCCGTGCAATCAGTTTCTCTTATACACAAATCTTAAACAACAGAATCTTAGGCGTGAATTATATTTATTTAATACATAATATGTAGCAATCTTTCGAACTAGCTCTTACCTTAAGGTTGTCATAATATTTACTTACTCAAAAAGTTACAACTTTTCGCTTTGTCTTGTTTTATTTATTTTAATCTAATGATTATAGATCACTTGGAAAGTAGTGATAAACTATTAATAGTCGACCTTAATAAGTAGGAACTACTTGAAATCTTTTTCCACTTGAAAGGAATCTTGAAATTGAATTTTTTTACAAACATCTTCGAAATGATTATACATGAATAAATGCTACTGAACAATCTTCTGGATAATAGAAGACTGCTTGACGGGGGGTTGCTAGATGAGGCTGTACACCGTCACTTGTACAAATTGAAAGACTGGAGACCTCGCAACCCCAACGACTAAACGACATTCAAATCGATAGTGATTTATTGAGTATTATTTACAGTTTATATATACAATTAATTATAACGTATTTGTGTTTGTTTGACATAGTGTCCTTATTTCTTATTGCATTAGTTGGCATACGTTGCATTTTACGTATGCAATTATAGTACCTAATTTTCCATTGAACTTGATGCTTTTGTAGTATTTCGCGGCCAGATTGCTGGCTTGCGTTTCACAACTCTTAATAAATTGTTACCTTATGAATTCATGATAATGTAATAACTGTAACCTAGTTCTAATTATACTATTGCGACAGCGATGTATTTGCCGCAGCTTCCTTGTTCCTCTGTTTAATATCTTTTGGTATTAAACAGCTACCGTAAGCACAAAAAGCTCCAATTTATAGTTTAATAGTTTCATATATATTTAACGAAACAGGACGATCACGTATTTCCAAGTGGTTGTTGTAATAGTTATTTAGGTAGGTACATAAAAGTCAGGAAAATTTTGGGGCCCAGTACTTCAATTTCCGACTTAGGTAATGTCATTTTACTTTGCTCAGTTGCAAAGTATTCCAATTATTTCCAGTACAAATTCTATTCAAATAAATATTCAAATATTCCAAAATGAAGCTACTTGACCTAGGTTCATTAAACCCTCCAGGTTCTGTGTAGACAAATACAGTGGATTTTGTTTAAAACTCCTGAAGTACTTTGTTTTCAACATCATAAGTCCAATATCATCTAGAAAATAACAGAATGACAAGGTATAAAACACTATAATTACAAATTCTGCTCTGTAATGGTAAACAGAGCTTTATCAAACATCCTACTTATATCTATGAATGACCCCACAGTTGAGTAGTACTTAAGTACTGGTAGAAACTGAACTAAATAAATATAAGTAAAAAAAATATTAAAAAAGATTTCGCTTCTCATAACGTTTATTTTGGCCAGTTATCATTTAAGTACCCTCAGCGCACTTAAGGGCACTTAACCGATATCTCATGGATTAATCGGTATATAAGGAGCGACTAATCTCAAAAAATCATGATTCGACGTCTAACATTCCCTTCAACAATGATCGTAATAGTATTACTGGTTTCGTTAGCGTTAGTACAAGCCGTTCCGGCTCCACTTAGTGATCACGACTTATGGCAACGAAGCGGTAAATTTGAAGGCGACATGGTGTTGGCGCCCTGGCAAAAAAATGGAGTTATTGATGTCAAGTTAAGATGGACGAACAGAAACATACCGTACGAATTGTCGGACGACTTCGGTAAGGCATCTATTTAAGAGTAGCGTTTTTCTATTTTTCGATTCCAGACGAACAGCAAAAGGCGCAAATTAATGAAGTACTGGAACGAGAGTTTGCCAAGACTTGCATCTCAGTGAAACCACGCGTTGGTGAATCAGATTATGTTTACGTTACTGTAAGTTACCAACCATTGTAATGGTGGGGATTAATTATTTTTACCTCCAGGGCGATAATTCCGGCTGTTGGTCGCAGGTCGGTAGGTTGGGAGGACGACAGGAGTTGAATTTGAAAGTAAGGGGGTGTGTTTGGAACCACACAATCGTTCACGAGTTTTTGCACGCTGCTGGTTTTTATCACCAGCAAAGTTCCGTAGACAGAGACGACTTTGTTGATATATTTTGGGAAAATATTTCAAAAGGTACCTCGAAGTTTTAAAGAAACACCCAACGTAACTGCTAATATTTTCTTAGGACTTGAGCACAATTTCAACAAGTACAATGCTGACTTCGTGACGAGTTTCAATGAAACCTATGACTACGGCAGCATCATGCACTACGCAAAAACAGCATTTTCGTCGAATGGTAAACCGACAATACTACCTAAGGTGGGATATATCGATTTCTGGGCATTTTAAGTAACATTTCGTTTTAGGGTGACTCTACTATTCCCATTGGAGTAACAAATGTAATGAGTGAAATTGATATTCGAAAAGTTAAGAAAATGTATGACTGTGTATGAAATGTTACAAAATAAAAAAAATTATCTACGTCATTAGTTTCGTAGTAGAGTTTCTGTTTTAATTTAATTTAATGATGTAATACGGGAATAACCCCAAAAGCACAAACATATTTCGGTGTACAGTTTCAAAGTACTACAAAAAATAAAAATAACTGCATTTTAAACTAAATTTTAAATTAAGATTAGGTACAAGTAGAGCTGATAAATGGTAGTTTATATATATATTAACCCAAAATGCCAAAACTATACAAAAAATAATAATTTAAAATTATACAAAACAATAATTCAATAACTCAAATAAATGTACAGATCTCTACAAAAATACAAATACACAAGTACAATTTTTAATCCCTGAGCAAAGGACAAAGAAAAATAAAATAAAATAAACCTTAGGGAATAACTTAGATATATAATAATAATAATAATAATAATAATAATATATAATTTATTCTCCATAAAACAAAATCAAAACTCTACAAATAACACGAATAAAAACAGGAAAAGGGACTGCATTCAGTGCCGAGAGACCCTGTTCTTCCATACAGCCCCAATCCAACGTATTATTACATTTCAAAAAATTATTCTAATAAATAAATGCACGATCACTAATAACACTAAATTATTTCCAACCTCAAAAGTTTCATCTACTGTCTCGCACTTTATTGTAGCTTACTCAGCTGCAGTAGTAATCTTACTTGCACTTTGGAGCCATGAACCGAAAGAGTTTTAATGGACGGTGGTAACGAATTATAAACTTTACAAGCATTATGTGAAAAAGATCTGCGGAAATAAACTGTTTTGTGTATAGGGACCGTCAACAAGCCCCTATGACGTAAGTTTAAACTATGTACATTAGTGCGGAACAGTAATCGTTCAGCCAGGTAGGGTGGCGTCGCAGTAGTGATGACTTTATGATAAGAACTGATGAGTGCAATGTCCTCCGCTTTGACATATTAAGCCAACCAGCTTCCTTAATTTTAGGAGAAACATGTTCACTGCGTCTGATTCCGTATATAAACCGTAAACATGAGTTTTGCACCTTTTGTATTCTTGAAGCTGTATGTGAATCAATACACGCTCCATATACGACATCTCCAAAGTTAAAATGAGATAACACGAGGGAATCACACAAATGTATTTTAGTTGCAGTTGTCAGAACATGCCTACTGGGATATAATTGCTTTAATACAGAAAAGGATTTTCGTACGCACCCGTTAATGTGGGCAGTGAACCTCAAGTTAGTATCCAGGCACATCCCCAAGTTTCTGGCCTCGCAACTTATAGGTAGTTCCAAATTATTAATTTTAACCTTAACAGTGGATAATGCATTGCTTCTCATTAATTTTCGACCAAACAACATCACAGTAGACTTATCTGCATTTAAATGTAAATTATGTTTCATAGCGGTAGCTGCTAATTTGCTAAGTTCATTATTTATTATTTTAGTAGCAGAATCAATATGCTCCGGAGGGAACGAATAATAAACTTGGGTGTCATCAGCATACAACAGGTATTTACATTTTTCTAGAACTAGACAAATATTAGTAGAGTAAATAACATACAACAATGGGCCCAATATGGAGCCCTGAGGAACACCATAGCGAACGTCAGCCCAGAATGACTTTATACCGTTTACAACAACGCGTTGCCTTCTACCATGCAGATAAGATGTAATAAGTTGACATGCGGAAAGATCAAATCCGAGATGGAACAAAATGGTAACTAAAAGAGTGTGGTCAATCGTATCGAATGCCTTTGAAAAGTCTAACATAACAAGAACAGTAAGCAGGCCGTCATCGGTTGCTCGAATAATGTCATCAGTTAATTTAAGAATTGCTGTGGCGCAACTATGATTTTTCCTAAACCCTGATTGAAAACGTGATATTAACTGGAATTTCTCGATATGATTACACATTTGAGCTTTCATTACCTTCTCAAGTACTTTGGAAAGAGCCGGAAGAATACTAATAGGCCTCAAGTCTTTAAAACACTGAGCATTCTTGTTTTTCGGAAGAGGGAGGATATGCGCATCCTTCCACTGAATAGGGAATGTATCAGTAAGAATACATTGGTTAATAATATGCGTAACGTGAGGGACTATAAACGGCCAACACAACTTTATCATTTCAATTCCAACATCATCTGCTCCTATAGATTTAGATTTTATTTCATTTATAAATTTATGGACGACAGTTTCATTTACTGGCACAAATTTGAGTTGGTCAGAAACTTTTGGATGGACGCCCGAGTATTCTGTAAATGATGTTGTGTGCAGCGGTTGTGTAGCTTGAGGAATGGAGTTGACGAAAAAGTTATTAAGGTCATTTGGTTTATTGAGATGTTGAGGTATACTAGAGTTACTTCTTTTATAAATATCTAGATCTTTAACAGCCTTCCATAACGCAGTGCTGTTATTATTGCTCAAAACATGATTTAAGTATGCCCTTTTTTCGTGTTTGATGGCTTGATTCAGGAGATTTCTCATTGTTTTATAATACTCCCAATGTGAAGCTCTTTTCGAAGATTTATAGCGAATGTATGCCTTGTCACGCAACCGCATTGGGTAAAAGTTTTCATCCTTTTCTGTTAAATAGTTCTGTGCCTCTTTTTTGAACTTTATTAGTGAGAATCGAAAAAAATCCAAATTTGGAACGGAATTCCCCGACCGCATAAGCCTCGGCATAAGCCGTTCAATTGGTCCATTGTATAAATAATTAGTCCTGACCCAACTGTTTGCGAAAAGTTTCGCTTGACGTAAATCCCTAGTAGGGATATGTATTTTAAGGTTTTCTAATAGAAATGGGCAGTCGGGCATTCCATTAATCAGTTTATACAGGAACATAATGTCATACAGGAATCGACGCGATGCAAGAGTATTCGTGTTAATCTCAGATAATAGCGCAAGATAATTATTTCCAATCAAGCCAGCTTTGAATGTATAAAAACGGAGAAATTTATGTTGCACTCTCTCTATTTTATTAATGTGAGTAATTAAGTATGGCGACCACACTTGAGTACAATACTCCAAAATAGAACGCACAAACGAGAAGTATAATGTTTTAATCGTTAACGTATTCCTGAAGTTTGAGGAAGTGCGAATCAAGAAACCCAGTTGCTTTGACGCTTTATTAGATATATACTTGATATGGTCAGGAAAAGTAAGATCATATTTGAAAATTATTCCAAGATCGCTTGTAGTAGTTTTGGCTATCAATGGATGATCGTAAAGTTTATATTTGAAGTTGATAGGTTGTTTGATTTTGTGGAATCTTATATAAAAACATTTGTCAATATTTAGTTTCATGTCGTTCCTACTGCACCACGTGTGAAAAGTGTTGAGGTCAGTTTGGAGGTCCAAACAATCCTGGATGTTATTAATCGATTTAAATATTTTTATATCATCAGCAAATAGTAATATGTTCGAAGGCTTAAATGCATGTCTAATATCGTTTATAAAAATTGAAAATAAAATCGGAGCCAGATGTGACCCTTGTGGTACACCTGACGTTACTGAAATAGTCTTGGAGACGAAAGATTTGTATTTAACCATTTGAACGCGATCCATCAGATAGGACTTGAACCATTCAAGTAGGGAACCAAAATTCCTATGTCAGAAAGTTTTGCAAAAAACGATTTTTGACACCTTTGACCTTGAATATCTAAGACGCGGACACGAGATTTTATGTGACTTTTGAGACAACTTTCAGAATGACAAAATAAAGGTTTACACAAGTTTATAGCTTATTATCTCTCATTCCGAGGTTGGCCTTATTTTTTGTCTCAAATGACTGGACTATACATTTGATATACGGATTCAAAATAATTAGCAAACGAGTTAAAAATATCGTCGCCAGTTTTGCATGAGTGTGAGCCTAAGTACATGGAATCAGGAAGCTCATTTATAGATTTCAGTGAATTAACGCATAGTTCCAGAAACGTTTGACATTAGAATTAATACTATTTTCAACATTATTAACATATAAGAGGTATGGCTGAGTTTAGATAATTTTTTACATTGCGATCTTAACTTAGAAAATTCATTGTAAAGAGTAGTTGTATTAAACCGCTTATAATTACTATGAGCAATGTTTTTCAATCTGATACAGTGTCTAAGTTCTTGAGAGTACCAGGGAGGGAATCTCTTATGGTCTCCTATTCTTTTAATTGGGATGAAATGATCACAACCTTGTTTAAGAATATCATAAAATATAGACAACGCACTATCAAGATCACTAACATGCCGCAGTACCTCCCAGTTAATCATAGACAGGAAAATGTTAAGGCTGGTGTAGTCTCCATTCACAAAGTCGTAGCGATACTCCTCCGCTTGAAGTTTTGGATCTGGTGGCAAAATCTTTATCACTAAAGTTAAAGAGGGATGGTAGTTATCTTCTGGCAGAGGTGGTTCATTGCTTCTTTCAATAATTGTTAGCAACGTTTACATTTCCACTCGCTCATTTCGTTATCAACGGGAGTCTTGGGAAACTCCAAAGTAAAGTGCTACCAAGCTCTACATATTGAAACCAAAACGATGCAACATTTTTTTGGCAGCAAATTCGGTGACATTCAGCAGTCTAAGAAGAATGTGGTTTTCTCACTAGCCAGTATGAGCCGTAGCATTAAAATCAATGGCGAGAGAGTTACTATTACCTCTATGACAATTTTCCAAAGAACTGTCATAGCAAAAAAAAACGAACGTTGAAGATGTGGCAAAACTTTTGACCTATGAACTAACTCCATTCCCCATGGCTCTATTCCTCGAGGATGTAATGCGAAAAGGGATTAAGCCAGCCCTACACTTTAGGACTAGTATGTTTTTTAAGACACCTTCACTTATGGACGGAGTGCCTGAGGCCGTGCTAGATTTCTTGTTCCAAATATTTTCTTTTTTTGTTTGGTTGCCAATATACACAACGGTTCCGAGTTATATGACACTTATTTGGATGGCTGTCCAGTAACCATGTTCTACATTAGTTGCACCACCTGTTCACCTAAACCCGAGGCCCCAACCACAAACAACGACATCCAAG